ATCTGCATATTGATTCATCTATTTCGTCTATCTATTCATTTGTTTATAATCCTCTGATTGTAGCATCGAATTTGAATCAAAATGAAGGAACGAGAGAGAGAGAGAAGGAGAGAAAGAAAGGGGAAGAGAGAGAGGAGAGAGAGAGAAGAAAAGAGAGAGAGAAGAGAGAGAGAGAGAGAGAGAGAGAGAGAGAGAGAGAGAGAGAGAGAGAGAGAGAGAGAAGAGAGAGAGAAGAGAGAGAGAGAAAGAAAAGAGAGAGAGAATGAGAGAGAGAGAAAAGGAGAGAGTGAGAAAAAAAAAACCGAGACAGAGGAGGAAAAAAAAAAAACGCCAAACAAATTAAAAAAAAAAAGAAAAATTCAGAAAAAAAGAAACCACCGACCGAAAGCAGAAGAAAATAGGGAAAACATCTCATCCAGCGATAAAAGAAAAGAAAAAAAAAGAGAATTACAAACTAAAAATAAATAAAACATGCAATTTTGGGTCACGTTCCGATTCGTTAAGACACATAATCCTCGTTAAAGCGGGTTGTGGCATTAGCCAGGTGTGTTCGAGGGCTAGGCATGAGAGAGAGGGAGAGGGAGAGCAGAGAGGAAAAGAGAGAGAGAGAGGGGGGGTGACGAAGGGAGGAGGAGAGGTGAGAGAGAGATGAGAGAGGGGGCGGGGGAGTGCAGAGCGAGAGCGCAAGAGAGAGAGAGAGGAGAGAGAGAAGAGAGAGGGACGAGAAGATGAGAGAGACGAGAGAGAGACCGAGAGAGCAGGAGGTACATACGTCAGCGCCGGTCTGAGAGAGCAGCATAGGAGATAATACAGAAGGAGATGGGCGAAGAGCGAGTCTAAGGGAAGCCAGACCAGCAGGGAGATGAGCAACGTGAAGAGAGGAGACGAGAGACTAGGAGGAGGAGTCAGAAGGAGTAGTTGTAGCAGTAACGGAATGGAGGACGACGAGAAGGTGGAGATGGGAGCAGAGAGAAGAGCAGGAGAGAGGGAAGAAGAGAAGAGGGAGAACACGAGAGACCGGGAGCTGAGAAGCGGAGAGGACTGAAGGAGTGAATGTAGCAGTGTACAGAGGCGGGTAGCACGCGGAAATGGAGGACGAGATTGCGCAGCGATGCTAGCTAGAGAACTGAGAGAGCAGAGAGAGAGCGAGGAGAGAGAGAGAGAGGAAAGTATGAGGGGGGGGGAGAGAGAGGACGAGAGAGAGGTGAGTAGGAGAGCGAGCAGCAGAGAGAGGAAGACAAGGAGAGAGGGGCGCGGGACAGGGAGAGAGAGGGAGAGAGATCAGAGAGGAGCGAGAGGACGAGAGAGAGACGAGAGAGATGACGGAGACGATAGCCCTCAAGGAGAGAGATGGAGAGAGACGAGGACGCCCGGGGCGCCGAGTCCAGCCAGAAAGAAGATGGGCCGCATAAAACGCGCGACGCGACGGGGAGAGGGGGTGTACGAGCTGAAGTCATTAAAGAGCGCGCATTTGATAGAGAGGACGAGAGAGAGAGAGAGCGAGGAGAATGGAGCGAGAAAGACACGACTGGAGAGAAGGACGCGGGACACGGGAGAATTGACAACGCCCAGAGGAGCCTGACAGACTATCAATCTGAGAGAGAGAGGCGAAGGATCAGAAGAGCTACTGGAATTGGCGAGTACGTGACTAGCTGCAGCAGCACGCGACGAGGAATAGGACGAATCGTCATAGACTGGATCGCAGAGACGCAGCACCCGAAGAGAGAAGTAAACTACGGGAGACGAGACGCAGCCAGGAGGGAGCAGGAGAGCAGAGCGCGAAGACGAGAGAGAGAGAGAACACGAGACAGACGACAGAAGACAGCACAACAGAGACAGACAGCACTGACAACAGAAGAGACAGCAGACAAGAGACAGACAGCACAACAGACAACCAAGACTCAAACCAAACAGACAATACAGACAGCACAGAGAAGAGAGAGAGACAGCGACAGACAGCAGCTGATAGTAGCAGCAAGAGCAGAGCTCTAGACGAGAACGCGCATCTAGGGCCGGTCACTGCAAGTGGTGAAAGTGAGGTACGAGTATAGTATACACCCTCCACCTTCCTTCATCTCTGCTGCTTCTGCGAGGCGGCCCTACTGTCTCCTTCCAAGAGGGTCTATCCTCTTCGGTTCTTTCTTTGAGCACAGGCGGGTTCCGTCTCTTAGCATCTGCATGATTCTCTTCGCCGTCGTCATGTTATTTGTGTTTTATGCCACTCGGGTTGGTTCAACGCTTGTAGATGGTGACTGCTCGGCGCACTCGTCGCAGCGGCGGGCGGCATCTTTGAGTGGAGCATTTACTTTTTTTACTTTCTCTTTTATCTTTCTTATCTTTACTTTCTCTCTCTCGTCTACTTCTCATCTCTCTCCTCTCTACTATCTTCTATCTCTCTTCTCTTCTTTCAGTTTCTCTGCTCCTAGCTTCTTCCATACTGCTCCTCCTCTCTCCCCTCCGTTCTCTGCGTCTCTCTTCTCTCTCTCTTTCCCTTCACATATCAATCCTCTCATACTCATACTCAACATCTCTCTCTAACATATCCTCTGGTCCTCCTTCGCTACCCTTCTCTGCTTATTCTCCCTCTCCCCCCTCTTCCTTCCTCTCTCTCTCCTCTCTCTCTCTCTCTCTCTCTTCTCTCTCTCTCTCTCTACTCTACTCTTCTCTCTCTCTTCTTCTCTCTCTCTCTCTCTCTCTCTCTTCTTCTCTTCTCTCTCTCTTCTTCAATCTCTTGTTTTATTACCACTCTTATCACCCAGTGTTGCTCTTCTCGTGTGCTTTCGCGTTTTCCTTCTCTAATACTATTGCTTTTTCGCTGCTTCTCTCTTTTTACAAACCTCCTCCCTTCCTGTCGTGTCTGTGTTGAATTTTTGCGCACGTGTCCTGCAATCTTCACCACAATTGCTTTTTGTAGCGTTTTCTAAAGTTTGCGCAATAAAGTCTGCATTAGGCCGTCCTTTTACCTTCTCTCTTTGCATATGTATTAACTATTCTGTTTACGCGAAAATAAACAGTTTTTCGTAATGTTTTTTTTGACAAAAAAATCATCTAGCTTCTGCAAGAGAAAAAATGTGTTTCTTATGTTGCTGTTGTTTGAAAAGGTAGACAGATCGATTAAGATTTAATCAGATATTTAAAAACGAGCGTAGATTTAGATTAGACATGTAGATAGATATGTGGAATAAGAAATAGATAAGTAGATAATGAGAGAGAGCAGAGAGAAAGCGGGGGGCGGGGGCAGAGAGAGAGAGAGAAGAGAGAGTTCATACGTCAGTGCATAAAATACATGGCATTACATGAATTACGTAAATGAAAAGGACTGAAAGACAGATAGCATAAAACCATATATAGATAGGAAAAGTTCTAGAAAAACAATAAAATAAATCAGATTTAAAAAACAGTAGAAAAGGATCGACGAAAAGGAAAGAACCAGGGACAGAAAAAACAAAAATAGACATAGTTTAGAAAAAATAAATAAAATTAGATTAAAAGTAGAAAAGATTCAAACAGAAAGAAGGGACAAAACCAGAAACAAACAATACGACAATAGAAACCACAAACAAAAATCTATCGGCCCCCACAAANTATATATTATTTATATATATATATATATATATATATGATATATATATATATAATATTATTATGTTTTTGCCATTTTTACCCGCAACAATACTTGAATTTGTATTTACGTTATTGCAACATGTGTCTCTGTTATAATTGATTTAGTCGCAATGCCACTGCCAGCATATACCGGCCCTTAAAAAGACAACATATGATGTTTGGTACATACGTTTAGCGAATACAGATTACAGGTGGTGCCGAGAAACTCCATATTAAATTAACGAAATATTGTATTGTGTATATTAATGATGTGAGTCTCCTGGCAAGTCCTCAGTAAAAAAACTAATATCTGTGAAATCACTTTTCCTCTTTATTCTTTTTCTTTTCTGTTCTTTATTTTTTGGAAAGGCGTTCAATAATCCAGGAATTCTCATTATTTCACGTTTCAGGAATCAGGTTTTTATTAATGAATGAATGATGCACCTGGCAGTCTGCGTGTGCATTCAGAATCCCAGGTCTGTGCCGACTACATGGGTGAATTTGACCTAATGGAAATACCTGGTTTCAGAAGCTAAAGAAGGGAGAGAGAGCGAGGAAAGAAGTAGAGAGAGAGAGAGTGGGGATATGAGAGAGAGAGAAGAGGGAGAAATAGAGGACATAGAGGGGGCGGAGGGAGAGATAGATAAATAGATTGAGAGAGAGAGAGAGAGAGTGAGTGAATTGGAGCAAGAGAAGAGTGGAAAGAGCGAGAGAGAGAGAGAGTCAACAAATGGGAAGGAATATAAGAAGTGAAGGAAAAGACGGGTATACGGATGGAATTAAGAGAAATAAAGGAAAACTCCGCTTACAACAACACGGATTTTTATTAAAGAAGACAGGGAGAGAAAGAAATAGGAGATTGCACATTTCGGAATTATGAAAAGGGGAGAGGAAACAGGAGCGCTAAATGATGTGAGGGAAAAATGTTTCGAAATATTTATGATGTCTTTCATACCACTCAGTTAACAGTGATCGATAAGTCATTTCCTCTTTGTCATGGACTGTTTTTCTTCTTCTTCTTTCTTCTTCTTCTTTCTTCTTCTCTTCTTCGTCTTCTCTCTCTTCTTTCTTCTTCTTCTTCTTCTTTTTCTTCTTCTTCTTTCTTCTTCTTCTTCTTCTCTTCTTCTTTCTTATTATGGTCTTTTTCTTTTTCTTCTTCTTCTTCGTCTTCTTCTTCTTTTTCTATCTTCCTCTTTTTCTTCGTCTTCTTTCTTCTTCTTCTTCTTCTCTTTTCTTCGTCTCTTCTTCGTCTTCGTCTTCGTCTTCTTCTTTTCTTCTTGGTCTTCTTCTTTTTCTTCTTCTTCTTCGTTCTTTCTTCTTCTTCTTCTTCTTCCTCTTCTTCGTCTTCTTTTTTCTTTTTTTCTTCTTCTTCTTCTTCTTCTTCTTCTTTTCTCTTCGTCTTCGTCTTCGTCTTCGTCTTCTTATTCTTATTCTTCTTCATCTTCTTCTTCTTCTTCTTCTTCTCCTTCTCCTCCTCCTTCTTCTTCTTCTTCTTCTTCTTCTTCTTCTTCTTTTTCTTCGTCTTTTCTCTTTCTTCTTCTTCTTTTTCTTCTTCTTCTTCTTCTTCTTCTTTTTCTTTCACTGCCATTTATATACTTCTATATGAACAGTTTTTATTTGTGCAGTATAACTTGTGCACGGAATTGACTACATTTTGTTAACCGTCGCATAAATACTTCATTAAATAATAAAAAGGTAACATTTTATCACTTCAACCTTTACGGAAAATTCTTGGAAATCCATAACTCAAATAACAAGCATTAATTAATCGTGATATATAATACATTCATAATTATATTTTTTCAAGAGTATTCTTTACTAGGAGTGAAATGAGATGAGATTCTATGCATCATTTAATCATTAAATAAACTTCTTGTCTAATGATAGTCAATATTATTTTGTTGTTAGTTATTCAGTGAATATGAAAGCTTGAATTTGAAAGCTTTAATAAAAAAAAAATAGAAAATCATATCACGTGTTAAAACAGAGGGGAAGACAGGTTACGTCAGTCATAAAGATCTAGTATAGTAAAGAAACTATTAATGAAACAGCTTCACATCTCCTCTTTTTTTATCTTAAACAGCGTAATGATAACTTGTATCAGCTAGCACACTCGCCAGCCGATCCTGAGTAACATAAGACCAAACTTAAAAAGAAAAAGAAAAAAAAATTCTGAACGATCCCCAGAGAAAAATATGCCCTAAGGAAAATGAGGCATAAATTCTACCAACGACGACCATAATCCAAGAATCACCTATATACTGGATCCCACCATATCCAAGATTATACGTATATAGGAGAAAGATCTCTTCTTTATATTCCCTTAACACCAAATGCTATTACTTATATCTGAGTTGGGAGACACTGTAAATGACAAAGTAGAAGATGGGATTTTATCTGTATACCCAAGAAGGAAGAAAAATGAAAAGTAAGAAAATTAATAAATGAAATACCTCTCGTATGATTAATGTCTTTAAGAGGTTATTTTGTCCAACACGAATTGAGAAAATATCGGGTATATTTTCAATACAGGACAAGAGCACATAGCACATAAAACCAAAGTACTTAACTCGCAAATATTCCATATCATACGGCTTTAAAATCTTTTGATGCTGTGCTCCAAAGGCTTAACAGCAACGCAAACTGCTTGTTTTGTGAAGCGGATACCAAACATGTTCACAACATGCACGAGGATGATGCCATGAACTCGTCAACCAGCTCGGAATTCGTTCTTTCAAAGCTTCTTCTATTCCACGCTTGTCAAGAAACGAATAAATGTAGTTATTTCTAAAATTTTTCGGGTCGGGCAAAAATAAATACAAAAAGTTCTATAATAGCGTACATGAACAAGTGCAAGGAATTTAACTATAATTACCCCACCCCCACCCCACCCCACCCGCCTGCATGCACAAACATATCACATTCGTATTTTGTTTTCTTCTTTAACACCCACATCACACACACACAAGCTCACACGTTCTCACACGTCTCATACGTTCTCATACCTGCCCGCACACACATACTCACACACACACATGTGTGTGTGTGTGTGTTGTTTGCGAGTGTGTTTTGTGTATGTTTATGTGTAGGCGTATATTTATATATATATATATACTATATTATATATATATATATATATATATATATATATATATATATATATATATTATATATATACACACAAACTTCTCCGTCGGCCTCTACACCCCAATTTCATTCCTTTCTCCTTCCTCCAGTTCCTCCTCACTCCTCTCTTACAAGCACGTCGGATGGAAGACTCGATAGCGATACTAAAAGGCGAATTGCAGTCCGGGAGCGAACAGGATCCAGTGATAAGCTTCAGGTATAAACATGGCTGCGGGAGTAAGGGTTTATTTCTTTTTTTTTTTTATTTTTATTTTTATTTTTATTTTTCTTCTTCGTCGTCTTCTCCTTCTTCTTCTTTTTCGCCTTCTTCTTCTTCTTTTCTTCTTCTTCTTCTTTCTTTTCTTCTTCTTTTCTTTCTTTTTTCTTTCTTCTTCTCCTCTCTTCTCCTTCTTCTTCTCCTTCTTCCTTTCCTTCTTCTTTCTTCTTCTTTTCTGAAAGGCAAAAATCCAATCGCGAGTTAATTAAAAAAAATCAAATTCTCGTACACAAAACCCGGATTCATCTACGAAAAGCTTTCTTGCCATTGCTATTTAATCACATTGTTGTTGTTGCTGTCGTTTCGTTTCTGTTCTTTCTATCACCATCTTTATTATACGTTTAGCTTTGTTGTTTTTAGAAGCAATGATGTCCTTCTGTTACACTAACTTACGGGGAATTCTTGTCTTCGGCTGTTTTCGGAAATCAAGTCAGCAGGATTTATATTTTTTTCTTTCTTCTTCTTTCTTTCTTTTTTTCTTTTCTTTCTTTTTTCTTTTTCTTTTTCTTTCTTTTTCTTTTTCTTTTTCTTTTTCTTTCTTCCTTTGTTTTCCGTCTTCTTCTTCTTCTTATCCTTCTCCTTCTTCTTCTCCTTCTCTTCTTCTTCTTCTTTTTTCTTCTATCTTCCTCTTACCCTCTCTCCCTCCTCTCTTCTCCTTCTCCCTTCTTCTTACTTCTTTTCTTTTTCTGAAGGCCAAAAAATCATTCGTTGAAGTTGATAAAAACTAAAAAAAAAATTCTCTGTAACACAAATCCCGATTATCTACGAAAATGCTTTTTTGCCATTTGGTATTTAATCACATTGTTGTTGTGCTGTCGTTTTTTAGTTTTTCTTTTTTCACCTCTTTTATTACTGATAGGCTTATACCTGTTATGTTTTTGAAGCAATGTGTCCTTTGTTACGACTAATTTACCGGGAATCTTGTTCCTTGGTGTTTCGGAATCCAGTCAGCAGTGCTATATTTTTTTTTTCTTTTTTCTTTTTTTTCTTTTTCTTTTTCTTTTCTTTTTTCTATTTTCTCTGTTCTTTGTTTCTTGTTCTTGTTCTTGTTCTTGTTCTTGTTCTTGTTCTTGTTCTTGTTCTTTCTTGTTTCTTGTTTCTTGTTCTTGTTTTTCTTGTTTGTTCTTTTTCTCTTTCTCTTTCTCTTTTCTTTTCTTTTTCTTTCTTTTCTTTTCTTTTCTTTTCTTTTTCTTTTCTTTTTTTCTTTTTCTTTTTTTCTTTTTCTTTTTTTTCTTTCTTTTTCTTCTTTTTCTTTTCTTTTCTTTTTCTTTTTCTTTTCTTTTTTTTCTTTTTTCTTTCTTGTTCTTGTCTTTTTGTTCTTTTTTTTTCTTTTTCTTTTTCTTTTCTTTTTTCTTGTTTCTTTTTCTTTTCTTTTTCTTTCTTTTCTTTTCTTTTCTTTTCTTTTTCTTTTTTCTTTTTTTCTTTTTTCTTTTTTTTCTTTCTTTTTCTTTTTCTTTTCTCTTCTTTTTCTTTTTTCTTTTTCTCTTTTTTTTTTTTTCTTCTTTCTTCTTTCTCTTCTTCTCCTCCTTCTTCTTCTTTTCTTCTTCTTCTTCTTCCTCTTCTTTCTCCTCCTCTTCTTCTCCTTCTCCTTCTTCTTCTTCTTCTTTCTTAAAAAGGCAAAAATCATCATACGCGAGTTAATAAAAAAAAAACACAAAAACCCGGATTTCATCTACGAAAAGCTTGCTTGGCATTGTTGTAAATCACTTTGTTGTGCTGTTGTTCATCTTGTTCTGTTTATCATCATTGTTATTATGTCTTGATGATAGTAGTTTGTTTTTATTTTTGAATGATACCCTTTGTTCAATCAACGTGAATCTTAAGTGTTGATTAATTATCAAAAATATATTATTCGTCAGCAGTGAAGTGAGTAGTTTTGATAGGACAAATATATCTCAAAGTTTGATTATATTATCAAAAATACCAAACGTGTGTTGAGAAGTAGGTTTTTTGACAAATATATCTCAAAGTTTGTTATTATCAAATACCAACGTAGTAGGTTTTGATAGGACAAATATATCTCAAAGTTTGATTATATTATCAAAATACCAATGTGGAGCTAAAGTAGGTTTTGATAGGACAAAATATATCTCAAAGTGTGATTATATATTCAAAATACCAATGTGAGCTAAAAGTAGGTTTTTGATAGGACAAATATATCTCAAAGTTTGATTATATTATCAAAATACCAACGTGAGCTAAAGTAGGTTTTGATAGGACAAATATATCTCAAAGTTTGATTATATTATCAAAATACCAACGTGAGCTAAAGTAGGTTTTGATAGGACAAATATATCTCAAGGTTTGATTATATTATCAAAATACCAATGTGAGATGAAGTAGGTTTTGATAGGACAAATATATCTCAAAGTTTGATTATTTATCAAAATACCAATGTGAGTAGGTTTTGATAGGACAAATATATCTCAAAGTTTGATTATATTATCAAAATACCAATGTGAGCTAAAAGGTTTTGATAGGACAAATATATCTCAAAGTGTGATTATATTATCAAATACCACAAATATATCTCAAATGATATATCATCAAAATACCAACGTGAGCGTTTTTGATAGGACAAATATATCTCAAGTTTTATTATATTTCAAAATACCAATGTGAGCTAAAAAGTAGGTTTTGATAGGACAAATATATCTCAAAGTTGGGTTTCAATTGCTGTTTACGATCGATAACTTACTCATCACTGCTGATCAACTAGCACTGTGTAAAAATTTTAAAAACTAAAATAGATTACGTCATTATACATCAACTTTAAAACAATATCCCAAAAGTCTTCTATCAGTTTAAATTTTAAAAATGTAAATGTGTGTGTGTGTGAGTATGTAAGTGTCTGTGTGTGTGTGAGAGAGAGTATATGAGCGTATGTGTGTGTGACTATGTGAGTGTGTGTGTGTGTGTGTATGTGAGTCTGTGTACAATATCCCAAAAAATATATCAATTCATAACCAACAGATGTAAATACTCCTTTTCACTCTAAAAAAATAAATGGAAAAGCTGTAATTACCTTCAT